GAGAAATATTTATTTGGGAATAAAACGAAAGAAAGCGTCACACTCGATTGCGCCAATTTCGCTACTCGAGGACTATTACTAATAGTCCTCTGGTAGTGTAGCCAATCAAAATGCAGGATTTGCATTAGTCCACTAGTTGGGTGATACTAATCTGTTGTATGCTAACCAATCAAATAATTCCCAACAGGTGATCAAATCTGCTCGTGTTATGAAGAAAGCTGTAGGCCATCTGATACCATTCATGGAAAAAGAGCGTGAGGAAAGATTGGCTGAGATGGGAGTTGGAGCCGACGATGACCTTTCGGTAAGTTAACAATATCTTCTCTGACCATTTTAGAGGGTGTATGACCTGACTTGTCACAAGTCGAAAGTAGCGGCTTAATTCTCCTGACATGATTTATACAGTGTTCAACTGATAGGTACAGGTAGTGAAAATAATGAAATGTTGTGCTGACATTCAGTTTGTGAAATGAAGGTTTCATTTGACCAGTTATTAATTCAATGCGTGTTCTTGTATTTCAGAGCCGTTACAATGGAACTATTGTCATCGCAACCGTCAAAGGAGACGTGCATGATATCGGCAAGAACATTGTGGGGGTTGTGTTGGGATGCAATAACTACAGGTAAATGACCGGTCAGTTGAGAAATTAGTCCTACAGTGTACATTAAGGAAAATCCGGCTAGTTTCCAGCTGTTATCATGCAGTCAAGTAGTATGAGTGTGATGAAACCCTACCAGTGTTACCCAACTCTCTTTTACAAGTGAATATATGACAGACCGTATAACTGAACTGCGCAGAAAGATATGAAGACATGATTGATCATCGCAGTTATATACACAATTAAGCAGTTGTGAAATTAAAGCGTGAAAAAATTTATTTTCTTCCGTTCAGTAGGTGGACATCCCTTGATAGACTTGAGATGCTGTATATTAGGTGTTAGTTTGTAACGAAATTTTTGGCCTACCTTCTGGCTAGTGAATTACTCAGCTATTCATCAACTGGAAGCTGATTAAGGTTCATTTAACACCATAGCGAGTTTGTTAAGCTGTCGTTTTGAGCGTTAAGCCTTGGTAAGAGCAAAGAGTCTAGGCTGATGACGTCACTCTAAAGAGTTCCTTGGTCTGTCTGTGATTGGTTTTAAATTTTGGCGCGTAAGTTTCAACCAATCATGGACGCTATAAGGGTCTCTTTAGAGTGACGACATCAGAATAGAGTTTTTCGCGTCTCTGAGCTCTTTCGAGCAAGGGAAGAATTAAGCGAACGAAGACATTATTTTTATCGACTCAGGCTTTAAATGTGCCTAAGCTATTCATTTACCATTTGTCTGGAGGCAGTATTTATTTACCATTCTTTCTGTTGTTTTGTCTGCAGGGTTATTGATCTGGGCGTGATGACACCGTGCGAGAAGATTCTACAAACAGCAATAGCAGAAAAAGCGGACATCATTGGTTTATCAGGGCTGATAACTCCATCACTGGACGAGATGATACATGTTGCTAGAGAAATGGAAAGACAAGGTCTCAAGATCCCGCTGCTTATTGGAGGAGCGACAACTTCAAAGTAAACGTCAAATTTACAACTGAGGACCCGGCCACACTTGCGCGCGTTCGTTTGAAAACACATACTTTTCGATGCGTTTTTGTCTATTGTCCACACTAAACGGATCGAAAACACTGATGAAAACGGAGGCTTTCGAAAACGGTTTTAAAAGTGGAGACTTTTGTTAACGCATCGTTTTGAAAACGCTCCGTTTCTAATGTAGACAGGTGAAAACGGAGGCTTTTGAAAACGGTGCCGAGAGAAGTTTCATATACTGTCATTTCCATCAGCGTTTTCGGATGTTTTAGTGTGGACGCTTGGCGAAAACGTATCAAAAGTATGCGTTTTCGAAAAAAAACGGTTTAGTGTGGACAGGTGAAAACAAAACGAAAACGCTAGTGTGGTCGAAAATATTTTGCTTCGTTTTCGTCGACACGAAAATGGATACTTTTAGAAAGGATGCTACTTTTCACCTCTAGAAAAACATCCACCTTGATTTATTCTTTTAGTTTGTATGAACAGTTCTAAATTGTGCGAAACGATTGTTTCACACAGAACATTGTTATTCAGGTATATTGTTGCATTTTATTTTCCAGGACTCACACAGCTGTGAAGATCGCTCCACGTTACACCGAACCAACTATACACGTGTTAGACGCTTCGAAGAGTGTTGTCGTGGTAAGATAACTGATTCTAGATCCTACTCTGCCTGTTTGGTTTCATGATGTGATATATGAAGTACATAACGTTAGAAGCATTGCAAACTGTTGTTTCGTTCGTAGATTTAGGTTTGTTGGGAAGCACGCAATACCATTTTCAATTTTTCATGCATTTTGAACACCTGAATTTCTAAAAACGTGAACCTGACGTGAACAAAACCAAATGAAATTAAACTGAACGCGTATTCCTGTACAAACATTTCCTACATACCCTACCATAATGGGCCACCGCCGGAAAACTGATTACTAATTTATATGACTGTTTTACAGTGCTCGGCTTTGATAGATGAGGCATCCAAAGAGGACTTTGTGGAAGAAATAAAAGAAGAGTACGAAGAAGTTAGAGATGAACATTACGATTCTTTAAAGGTACGAAATATTTACTTATGTTCAATTTATTGTTGCTTTTTTTTTTTGCCGCACTAATATTTACTCAACCCCACAAGTTGATTTGTCTTGTGTCGGTAAGGATTTCTCCAGGGTAATGTGAGCCAATCGATGATTGGCTAACGCATCTTTTCCCGCGCTTGGCAACACGCTGAGATTTGATTGGTTGTTGCACAGTTATTACGTTACGTTGAGACGCTTTTTGAAGACTTCAACTGGTTTTATTTTATGGCAGCCGTTATGAACGTTTTTAATTTGTTTGCAGGATCGAAAGTACTTATCTCTGGAGAAAGCTCGATTAAAGAAAGCTAATTTGGACTGGGTTGACTTCACTCCAGGTATGATCTTTCTGTTCGTCAAGTTTATTTATTTTTGCTACAATCGGCTTTCTCAGTTTGACGGATAGAATCTATCTGTGAGGTTCTTGTTTCAAAGGCAGATGATGTTGACTTTTGCATACTTTCTGCTCTTTATACCACGCACTGATGTTCAGAAAAAATGTTCAAATGTTGTTTTTTACGCTAGTCAATGCGCTTAGCTACACCTAGCTAGTAGGGTTAGATAAACTATGCTCGAAAATTAGAGCATTACACTTTTGAGCGTCACTCCGGCATAATTTATCTAACCCTACTAGCTAGTTCACAGGCATGCCACTTGAACTGAAAGAAACAAATGTATCTACTAAAAGTAATAGACTTTAAAATCCCAGCTGGCGCCTTGAGGCAGACCAGTAGGCTATTTACAAGTATGACCGAGGAGTTGAACTAGGGTCTAGCAACACACGCGACTTCCGGATTTCAATTCCGGCGCCCTAACCACTCGGCCACACAGCCTCCAATGATACTCAATCAGAGATATTATTTTTGAATTTTCTGATTATCTAGTTGAAAATTCTGTGGTAAGTGTTGGGTGTGAATGAAGTTGTTGTTTAAGAAAAGTCTCGACCAGACCAAAGTCTTGACGTTTGCTGTGTGAGAAAAGAGAATCCCTCTCTTTAGATTTATAAGTTACTAACTTGAGTAGTCATTTTAATCATTATTTCTGTCATCTGTGTTTTTAGTTCGTCCTTCGTTCTTGGGTGTCAAGGTGATAGATGACTGCGAGTTAACTGACTTGATTCCATACATTGACTGGAAACCCTTCTTTGATGTGTGGCAACTCAGAGGAAAATATCCCAACAGGGGGTACCCTAAGATCTTCCAGGATAAAACTGTGGGTGAGTACTGACGGTCAGACATCTATCAAACCAAAGAACATCAACGCTATTTTGAAACAGTTTGAAACACACTGGACTAGAATTTAGTTACAAAACGTCACAAAAGTGCAGCAGAAAGCCAACATACGAGTCTGTAAAACATACTTAGAGCAATTATTGTCGATTGCGCTTTGTATATTTGGGCCTGAACGTAGAATATGTTCTAGTTTTAAGTAAATATTTATATTGATGCAACGGCAGTTTTCGCGGGTTGTGAAACAATGCCATTACTTATCTGAATGATCGTTAAGAAAAAAAGTTCAAATGTAGCAATTCCCCGAAAGAAGTGGCCTTCAGAAAGTGGTCATAAAGTTTCATGGTTGTAAATCCGAAACTAGTGACCTCCCAAAATTAACGACCGTCTAAAAATAACTAAAGCAACTCAACTTTCCGCATAATTATAGTTGAGCCCCGCTAATTCGAACTTGGTTATTTCGACTTCCCCGTTATTTCGAACTCAAAATTAATTCCCTTGGATTTGCCCGAGGGTCATTTAAGATTGGATAATTCGAACTCTCTCTATTTCTATCTCCCCTTAGAGTTCGAAATAATGGGGTTCAACTGTATACGATTTCTGAGTGAGAATATCCAACAATTTCTCCCCCATCCAGTAGCAATTTCAACTGTGAGACTGATTTAACAGTTGTACGTTTTCTTGACTAGGTGACGAGGCCAAGAAGTTGTTTGATGATGCTGAAAACATGTTAAAGAAGGTCACTGAAACCAAATCACTGCAAGCGACTGGAGTAGTGGCTTTCTTCCCGGCTAACAGTGTGGGTGATGATATCCACGTGTTTGATGACGATAATGCCCGAAAAGGCTCACCACGAGCCGTGTTCTATGGCTTAAGGCAACAGGTACGCATGCGCTGGCTAATGTAAAACAAATTGAAGGTACTTATGGTGTGCAAAATAGTTTTGTCAATAATTATGAAGTTTGATTATTAATGGTGCTTCGTGTGGGCCCGTTCCCGGCTCTGGTTTGTTTTAACAACGTAGGACGCAAAGTCATCGTAACGAAGATACATAGGCATCAAAAACTGTTGTCAGACTGAGTAAACAGATGTGTTCCAAAAAAAACAAAAATTAAATAGATGCTTTTGAGATTTATCCGCAAAGTTCCGTATTGTGCGTAAGAAATATGTTATTGAGACAAACCGGAATTTCTTGGTTTCTCAGAATGTACTCTTTACTTTAATCCCCAAATTTATCATTCCAATGTGTCTCTTTTAACATTGTTTTCTTTTGCAGGCCGAAAAGGAGCATGGTGTTGAGGACCCGTACTATTGCCTGTCAGACTTAGTAGCGCCGCTGGACACAAATGTCAAGGACTACATTGGCTGCTTCGCTGTGTCTGTGATGGGGGCTGAGGATATGGCTAAAAAGTACGTAAAACACGAGAGATCATGTTTCGTAACATTTCGAAACACCGAGTAGAGAACTGAATGATTTGCTTTGCTTAAACTTGATGGATTAGTAATGAATTTGAGAAACGCTTTTACGTGGCAAACTGACTTGATAGGTCGATATCTTGTATCCTTATGGCCTCCTTCCCCNACCCCCCGCAAAAAAAAAAATTCGCTTGCAAACGAACATCAGTGTGCGCTTGACTAAACAGTTCATTTTGGCAATCCCAGCAGTCTTTAGTATGAACAGTTGTTACTTGAGTCACAGGTTACATAATGACACAGTGAGAGTAATTTGTTCGCAGCGAGCGCGAAAGTGCTTTACGGTATGGGACGTGGTTAATAAATCCATTGTGTGAAAAAGCGTTGACTGTAGAACAGAACTTTTTGTTGGCAATTGTCATTGTGTGTGGTATTTGATAGCTCTGATCACCACAACGCCATGTGCAAGACTTGAGCTTCAGTTTCTTCAAAGTTGATCCGGAATGCTTGAATGCACTGTAAACTGGGTCAGTTCCGTTAGCCTGCTCGCAGGCTCCCGGCGAGGACGGAAAAAAATTTCGGCAAGCGCGAAACAGAAGAATTCCGTTAAATATGTAAACTTCATTTTCTTGTTTTAGATTTGAAGAAGATCTCGATGATTACAGTGTTATTATGGTGAAGGCGCTTGCTGACCGCTTAGCTGAGGTCAGTATCCTCTCGGAATGCTCTATTTATACTTCGAATCTCCAATCATACTCGTGCTCTTGGCAACTGAAACTATATCTCTCCTATGCCATTTACCGGGCTTTGATTTCCATGTTTATTTTATTTTTAAATAGTTTCAAATATATTCTACTTGAGAAAAGTGAAAAAAGTATGTACAGTTGGACTCCGCAAATTAGAACTCGGGTATGTTAAATTCCGCGTTATGTCTAGCCTGCGAACGCAGACGTATTTCCGGCTGTCACTTGGTTCCGCCGAAAAACGACGTCTGCGAACCCGAGCCAGGAAACGATTTCTGTGACGTAATGACTTTTGTTTCTCCTTGGCCAATCAGATTCCATGATAGAATGAAACTCGAGTGCTCCTCGCAGCGAATACCTCGAATTCAAAACCATTTTCCTTGGATTTTGCCCTTCAGTCATTTACTCTCGGTTATTTTGAACTTCCGTTATTTCGAACTATTTTTCTTTTCTCATGAGAGTTCGAAATAGCGGGGTTAAACTGTATATTGAAGTCTGTGACGGCTTGATCTGTCAGCTTGAAATTTTATTTACGCAGCACTGCATCTCTTTTTTTCCCTTGTTAAAACATAAAATCTACTCTTGGTACCAGGCTTTTGCTGAGGAGCTTCATGAACGCGTTCGCAAGGACTTGTGGGGTTATTGCAGCGATGAGATACTAGATGCTAAAGACTTGCACAGAATCAAGTACCAGGTGATTACTCTGGCAAATTCTCCTTACTAGCCTAGTTCATGTTCTGTTGTTCTGGTTAGGAGTTTCTGTATGTACATCAAATTAACAGACGGTCTGCACTCGTTGAATCATTCTTCCTCTGTTCCAAACGGTAATTTTTAAGTGCACGCAATTTCAGAATGAGCTGAGCTATTTTAGTGGTCTTTCTCTTTATTCTGTTACATATGTAGTTGAGTTTGTATTGACATGGTAATGAGAAAATAGATGCTAAATCGATTTTGGAATTCAAAGATTAAAAGAATATCATACCAAAGAAATAGGTCCAAAATGCGTACACTTGTCTACGTTGACTTATTCTAAAAACATACTCTTGAAAACCTTTCGCGTTTTTCCACAGGGTATTCGCCCAGCCCCAGGTTACCCGAGTCAGCCGGACCACACTGAGAAGTGGACCATGTGGGAATTAATGAACTGCGAGAAATTAACTGGAATCAGGCTCACAGAATCGCTTGCAATGGATCCTGCTGCTTCAGTGTCTGCAGTATTTTTTGCTCATCCCAAAGCTGTTTACTTCTCGGTGGGAAAAATCTGCGAAGATCAGGTAACAAGACACTATACGCTTAATAATCAAACGAAGTAAGACAGCATTTAATCGTTTGTCAACAAGCTTTAAACCTAAAAAAGTTCCAACTTTTTGTTTGCAAAATAGTGGGAAACATAAAATCACATAAACTGGGGCTTAACCTGCAGGCTTAGAAATTTAGGGCGACCACGCATCGTTTACAAGGGTCTTCATGATTCGCCTAACGAAACAATAGGTATGCAAGACAAACACTGCCCCTAGCCCTAAAAACAAAAGAGGTGCAGATTAACAAGGACGAATCAAAATAGAAGTTTTAAAGAGCTACGGGTCATCTGGAAATTTAGAACCAATTTCCACTTGTGCAATATTGGACTGACAACATTCGCCGGAAATAAACAGTTTGTCGACATTTATCAATCTCCATTGATTAATTATTTTGTTATTGTTGTTGTTGTTTAGGTAACCGATTATGCCGAGCGAAAAGGAATGCCTGTGGAAGAAATCGAAAAATGGCTCTCACCGATTCTATCCTACGACAGAGATTGAACCAGCAGAGGATTAAATATTTTATATACAGATAGCAATGTCCTTCGGGAACTCGCTTCCTTCTCAATACCAAAATATGAGCCGTCCTTCCCAATCACGTGATTTTTGTGGCATTCACGTGCTCTTTCCACAGGTGCACGTGCTGATGCTGATTGGTCAGGTGCTGGGCTCGTGTCCATCGTTGACATGAAACAAATGCGTAAAGGACGAGTTTCTTTAGAAACAACAGTTGATTTTAACATTGTGCTGACAAACCAATCAAGATGTCAAGAGAAGATCATTTTAAATACGTCAATCTTATTATGGCAAGGGCACGACGTTTTAAAGATATTTATGACTTGGATTCTGAAATGTATCGTCCACCATATCTAAACATTTACCACAAACCGTCATACGAAGAGTATATTGAAAACAAAAGTATACGTTACCTTAAATGGAGTAACTGCTCTGTAAAGCCCTTTGAAGGCTTATTTATTTTAAAAATGTTTGAGTAGAAGATTAAAAGAGAGGGGGAGGGGTGGGGAGACCCTTAATTAGCAAAACGCTAGGAGTTTATCAATTTGTATCTCATTTATTTGTACATTACATTGGATCAACGTGATTATTGATTACGATTCTTTTTGAGTGTTAACTATAACTCGAGTTGTAAACAACAACAGCAAACTAATAATAGATGACCCCAACACATTCCGTCATTCCCACACCTGAAAAGGAAATGTATATTAGCAATAAATCTATCGACAAAAGATATGGCGATGCTGTCAGTTCTTCCCGTCAAATAAGCCTATGTTGACTCTACGTTGTGGTTATGTGTTCAGTCCATTCCTCGGAGACCCAGAGGCAGTAAGTGAGGGGGGAGGGGTGAGAAGTCGAAAGACCTCTAGCGAGGACTCCCTGGGGATGGAGTCTTACCGCGCCACTTCCAAACAATTCTGTGAATGCTGGCTTCTGATTGAGAAAAGAAAATCCTTTGTATTATTCTGCCCAGTTGACAGGCAGCAGCTAGGTTAACAGTAAGTTTTGTATGTTCTTGTACGAAGCGTACACAAAGGGTTTTACCTGCCTTAGGATAAGACAAGAAAAGACGCCGGACGGACCGAAATTCAGCTTATTCAGACAAGTTATGGTCCTAAAATCGAGATTTTGCTTTATATCACTGCCTCAAAAAAACGGACTCTAATTAAGCTCATAATTATGCTTGACTCGGCTCTTATGCCCGTAGCTATGCCGCAGACAATCTACTCCCTGCAGTGAATCAAACGTGACAAACACAACAGTTCAAACAACTTGGAAAGTGATCAAATTGAGACACAGTCTCTCAAAAGAACAGTGAGAACAAGTCGAACGTGCTTAATTAATAGAAAAGAAAACTGCGCAGCGCTTTATTGAAAATGGCTTGCAATTTATCAATTTCTTCTAGTAACTAAATTAGTTACGAAAATAAACGACATAATCGTTTTCTCGCAAAATCAAGTTTCATTATTATGCTGGCAGAATGCTTGACGCTATGTAGAATTAGCCGGCATAATTAATATGTCAGCCTCTCTCTGCTCCCTGTGCGAGCAAAAAGTAATTTGTATTGGTAATCGTATGGATGCGAGTGCAATGTAACAAATTGACGTCAGTTTTTTATGCGTCTGTCCGCTTATGATAGATTGCGTCATAACATTGTCAAAGTGGCTGTGGAACCACTCGCCTGCGGCTCGTGGTTCCTCAGTAAACTTTGACAATGTTATGACG